AATAGATGCATATCAAGTCGGTGATCTAATAGGCTAAATTGTGAACAATAAAACAGAATAAAATTGTCAACAAAAGGCATGCTTTACTCCCGGTTTATACGTACTTTTGGGCAGTTTGAAAAAGCACCGTTCCCACACTTGCTATCAGCGTTCATTCGGCCACACACGGAATAGGCCGTTCCAGTATGGAATCCGTGGTTGAACTGCGACAAGAAAGCTCTAGAAAATCGGCAATGGTTGGCAACAAAATTGGTAAAAGGTCTGTATAAAAAGACATACCCCGAAAGACTGCAACTATTGGAGCTTTACTCATCTCAATATCGCCGACTTCGGGGGGACCTAATCTTGACATACCATATGCTGCATCAAACCAACCACCCTTGCCGTTCTGTTCTGACTTTATCTCAAAATGATCACCTCGGGGGAGATCCACTAAAGTTGAAGACCCAGAACAGCCACCTTGATTGTCGACCTCACTCGTTTGCAGTCAGATTGTGCGGTGTATGGAATTCTCTTCCATCCCATGTAGTGTGCTCTTAATATTGAACTATTTAAAATGCAACTTGATGAAGCATTGGAACACTTAACATTTCGACATCCGTGTGTGACCATGCAAATTGTTATGATTATTATTTTCTCTCTCTCAAAAAATTCTGTAAAAAAATGTATGGGGCATAATAAGCTTTAGCTTTGTTAAATCACCCATAGTAAAACTTTGACTTTTAAACAACTTGATTATCATTTGCTTGTGCAGATAAATGGACATTTCATCGTTAGATCAACTGATAGCCCTACCGCGTGTGTTTGTGCTCTAATGATGGTCGGCTTGGAACCTGAAACATCGTAGTTGATAGCTGTACAAATTGAAAAAAAACGTGACTGGGTAAACATTTCCTCCCATGCAACTGCTCTGATTTTCTTTTTATTTGTTTGAACTCATCGATCTTCACCAGTGGACTTATACTGTGGATTAGATTCATTCACTGGTGCGATATCCAAGTGAAGCGTGATTTCGGATAAGAACGCTGCTGGCCCGTCTGTCTGCTCGCGTGCTTGAAGTATTCCTTCTGTGGCCACAAAAAACAGTTTCACAGGCAAATGATTTGAATTAATAGAGAAGATTCTGATCTGTAAACATACAGACGCGTTAAAACTGTATCGTTCACCCAACCCTTAAGAGTCTCGATACTTTGAGTGTGTAGATCGATTTC